CAGAAAGCCGCAGCCAACACATGGGAGCAAATCCTCAAAGATTATCCAACGGATCTTCTGGCTATAAAGTTTGCTCATGACACATACTTCTATTTGGGTGACGCAAAAATAAAGCGTGACTCCATTCAAGCAGTTCTGCCTAAGCATAAAGGGACAGAGCCATGCTACAGGTAAAGAGCCGCTATTAACAGACATTGCCGATGAGGAGTTTCTTAATTCAACATGCAAAATTCTACTTGGCCTAGCTACCTCCATGGAATGCTGGCCTTTGGTCTTGAAGAATGTGAACAATACGAGGAAGCTGAGAAAGAAGCATTAAAGGTGAGTATTAAAAGTTATTAAAATTTTACGTCAGCTACTATTGTCATAAACTAGTAAGGAATTAATTTAGCAATTTTTGTAAACCACATAGTTTCGATGTTTTTAGGCGCTTGAAGCGAACAGATACGATTGCTGGGCCACCCATGCCAGAGCCCATGTTTTGGAAATGCAAGGAAGGTTTGATGAAGGCATCACATTTCTGGAAAGCACCGTCGAAGACTGGAGGGTAAGTTTTCTTATCCAGCATAGCATTCGAACCTAATTCATAAAACCGTGGCTTGAAGGTGAAAATCAACACTTAACCACAATTTTTGAATATCAGTGCTTAAAGCGAACCAATCACAACGATTTTTTTCAGAAATAGTAAATTTTCGGGAAGCTCAAATGCAATATCACAACCTACCGTCTAATTCCATACTTCAAAATAATCAAAAATTGATACAGATATTTCCACAAACCCTAATATTATTATCTAAAAGGATATTTTCAGCAAGGCTGGATGTTGGCTGCTCATAATTACTGGCACAACGCCCTTTACTATGTAGAAAAGGATGGCACTTATGAAGCACCACTTGCTATATTTGATAGGTAGATAATTTTCAACTGAGTTAAATAAGCAAAGTGTCACATTCTCGTCTAGCGAAATTTGCCCACGAGCTGTTAAAAGCGGAGCAATGCTTGATATGGTCGATGCTGTGTCAATACTATGGAGATTAGAACTCGAAGGTGTGAATGTTGGCGACAGGTTGGAGATAAGATCTTCGGTATCTTTACTTTTCCACAATAATGAGAAATTGGAAATTAAGGTGGCAGAATCTTCCAAATTTGAAGGAACACCTTGATGATCATGTGCTATTTTTCAACGATATTCATATGAGTAGGCTTAATGTTTTTAGTATCACTAATGTATAAATTGAACTTTTATTATTAGGCATTGCACTACAGAAGAACGGCCACATTGATGATGAAACAAAATTGCGAGAAACTTTGTTCGAGTTTGCAAAGTAAGGAACAGCAGTTGAAAAGCAACCCAATCAATCTCATCTAACTTATTAAGGACTGCAAGTGACGACTACACTCAAGCTA